GAATGAATGTGTCCATAGATAAAACCTGTGGCAAAGTCATGGTACTAGTGCAATAGCAATATATAATTAATTAATATGATGCTTATCTTAATCAACTCTTTAAACTAAACAAATTGGAACCCACTATCTAATCTAATTAAACAATTGCTAGTAAAGTTAATCCATAGAGTATGGACCACTTCCAAAGAAAAAAATTTAAACTATCAATTCCATGTGAATGGCACCTATTGCATCGAACCTAGCACGATGGTGCATGTTCTCACTCTTTCACAAGCCGCTTTCCACTCAAAGTGGGTTGAGATTGTTGCACTCACGTCTCTTGCCAATCCAAAGCTTTCAAACTTATGTTAATTAATTCAAATCCCATTGAGCACCCTATTATTTTAAGGGCTAAACAGCCGACCAAACTGAAGCTTTCATGTGACGGATTATGATAGATTTGGAACCTTTCTTGTCATCTATGCACCTGCTAGCTCCTTCAACCTTTTTTCAAATGAAATTTCACAAACAATTGGTAGCATAATGTCAACGATTTTGCTTCAATTTGATTGGTGAGTGCATGGTCCTTAGTGCCAATCTTAAAGTGTTCCCATTATGTACTTTGAATTTGAATACATTTGAGTTTATATATGGACTAAGGTCACATTTATTTACTGTTGGGTCAACATTATTAATGAGCCGTGAAGATCAAAACCTCACCCTCGTTTAAGATTTAAATTTGGTGAATCCTGTAGAATTTTGAGGTCAATTCCTGGGTCCTGCATGCTATACTAATGTGTCATATATAGAAATATACTTTCATGTGATAACAGAAATTTTTTTTTTTTTAAATAAAAATAAAAATGGATCCTCTCAGTGTAAGCCTTAATGTAATGGGTTCGCCTGTAATTTACAAAAAGGAGTGATATCTTATCTATTGTGAAACTTATAATTCATTGGATAAAAACATAAAGCAAAAAAAAAAAAAAAAAAAAAGAACTCCGTACTAGGTTTCTTGTACCTTAGTTTAGAAAAAGGAGTGGTGATAAAAACATTATTCATTTGAAAATGAATTTTTATATATAGATATGTACTCTTATTTATATATATAAATATTATTAATATAGGCTGATACACCTAGGGGAAGAAAAAAAAAGGAAACAGCGAGGGTTAAAGAACTTAGTTCCAACATATTTGGAAGTGCATGCATGCAATTATAGTTTAGAAACTTCTGTGGCAAATTTTAAAAGTTTTCTAGTAATAAATTTGAACTTTGCTGGAGCTTAGAGAGGTTACAATAAACATATTAAAATAAAAGAGCACTTCCATGACACATTGGTGTTTGATATCTATGAGATAAGGAATTGTCTTTAAAAAAAATGCACTTGAAAGAATGATAACTTAGAAACATGACTTGTGAGGGTTCTTTAATTTAATACATTGTTGTTTAAGTTATCAACGAAAAGCGTTTTTCTTTTCACTCATTATTTTTTTCGCCATTAAAATTTCTATTTGAAAGGAATGATTGTTGGCAGAAGCTAAACAATTCAATAGACTCATGTCTAAGATACTAGTCACACGTATCTGCTTTAGGTAATTACTTAAAAAGGATGAAGATTAATAAGCCACTTGAGATATATAAAAAAAAAAAAAACACATGTTAATATAGTATGTTTAATTGGTTTTCTTATTCTTTAATTTAGTATCTCATAGATTGTGGGGAAGATATAGTCCTTTAATATATAATTCTTGTCCTTCGCTGTCCTATCAAAGCAACTCAAAATGGTAAAATTAAGGGTTATTTTAGTTAGTTAGTTATTATTACAATAATATTGTATGAAATAAAGCTCTTGCATGTCAGGATTGAGATGTATCTGAATGTAACTATTATTTCATTTATATATATAGAAGAAACTGTAGTTAATCATATAAAGTTTTTTTTACTTGTGCACGGTGGTTTAGGCTTTCATATAAACAATTTACCCACTTCAGGGAATTCGAAAGAGATAGTTAATTAAGTTTTTTGACCAACCCATCACTTATCTATCATGGACATCGACAACGATTGTTGGTATGTTTACAGGTATATAGAGCAAACGTTTTGCTACAACCTTTCAAATATTCAAACCCTAGCTCCAACACATGTTTGTATTAAATTATATATATTCATAACAACTTATAATTAGAACTTTATAAAAAAATTAAAAATATAAAAATATCTTTCTTTCAAAATATTAAACATGCACATAATTTTTTTTTAAAATTTATCTAAGAGTTTAAAATATAAATTTATATTTTTTAAAAATGGAATTTTAATAAAATTGTTATAATTCATTAAAATATTCAGAATTAATTGAAAAATAAAATAAAATAAAATTTGAATTAATTTAATTGAGGGACTAGCATCACTAATAATGCTAAAGACTTTTCCAAATAGGCCCACGGCCCTTCTACTTATCTCCTACCTTCAGTATCAATGATCCATTTGTCCAAATGATGACTGTCAGTTGGGTTAATTTTTTAAATGAACAACATGGAATTTAAGTTGTAGGCCCAATGAAAGTAAGTCATCTAAAATGAAATAAAAAAAACAAGGTTGGCCCATATTTTGATATGTATAATGCTTTGAGTTTATCTAGTTTTTAAAATTTAATTTATCAATTTTTTGTTTGTGGAGACAATTCATCAATTTTAATAGTGCATATGTTTTGTAGACGTGTTATAAGGGGGCGTTTGGTACGCGGAATTTTGAGGGATTCCCGGAAAACTGAATTTTTCTAAATTTTAAATTTTCAGGTATCATCGTAAACTGAACGTGAAAATCATATTTTTGAAAATTGAGATTCCCCGACAAATAAAAATTTCTCCTGTACGAAACGCCCCCTAAGAGTTAAATTTTTAGGCGTTTCCTTTCTAGGGTCAGTTTGTTTATTTATTTTTTCGGGAAAAAATTATAAAAAAAAAATGTTTGAATTTTTTTTTCATAATTATTAGATGAGTTTTTTTTTTTGGAAGTTTTATGATTTTTCTCAAAAGATAGAAATAGTAACATCTGAAAAAAAATCTATAAAGATATCATAAAAAGTACCCTTTTTTCAGTTTTTCCAAACGCACAACTAAACTTGATGGATGTCAATCAACACAAGGACTGTTATTTGCTAAAATTTCCTGATGTATAAAGTTAAATCTTATCCGTCTAAATTTAGGCCCCCTTTTTTTCTTTTGAAAAATCTTCGTTTTAAATTATCCTTTTAATTTTTCACTGATGTCAAAAAATATCCCTATTTGACAATTAATGTTAAGAATAAAGAAGATACAAAACTAAAGATACTGCACACTAATACACTGAAAAAAATAATAGTATGAACAATGTATATGTTAGCAATTCTTTTAATTATTTGTGTGTTAAAGATTATATCGATGTAATAGTAATCTAGAAAGACAGTGTTATAGACCAAAGTTTTACAATGGAGTTATGATGAGTAAGTCTCCTGCAAAAGGCCGAAAATCCGAGTGTGTGTTGTGAGGAGAACATCTTTTATATAACTGTAATAGATAACTCTTTCATTGAGTAATTAATATTTAGATAAAAAAAAAATATTTTTCTCTCTTATATATACAAATATCACAGCTATTCATTTCTATTGGCAAACAAATGGTGCGAAAATAATTATTATTAGATAGTTTCGTGTGTGAGGGCACTATGACTTTGTGTGACAGGTGTATTCCGACAAAATAATAACTTAATGAGTATGTAAATATGACTCCTCATTGAAAAAAAATTTCACATATATAAGAAAGTAAGTCATAGTTGTTTTCCTGTTGTGGCCCCACTATTATATAATATGCGCCCCAAATAATATATACAATGGAGAAAAAATACCGAATCTTAGTATTAATTTTTATCTTATATTTTTAGATAATAAATTATGTTGGTCCACTAAATATCTCAAGTCCAGTCTCTATTAATCGGATAGGAATAAAATTCTGCTAAAAAGAAAGTGTCTTGAAATGCGTTGTTTGTAATGATCTGTAATGAAGACGATAGGTTTCACTATGAAAAGGATGTTCTTTTACTCGGAATAAGACCAAAGATTAAATGATTGACATCAGGGCTCAAAAATAAATAAATAAATAAAAGTTATTGTTACAGTGAATGAACAATTTTTAAGCAAATAATAGAATACATTCACGAAAGAGAAGAAAAAGACAACCCTGATAAAAACTCATTCTCATTTCTTTGCAATTGAACTATTAGTGAGGGCTCCACTAAACCCCATGTTACCTTGGCATTCCGTGAAAAGTGTGGTACCTAACTAATATGACTTATTCTTACTCTATCAAGAAAAAAGGACAAAAAGATAACTATCACCATAGCTCAGGTTAATCTTCCTTTGTTAGATCAAATCATAGAGTATAGAGACAGTAAGCTTGCAAGCGACATAAATCATTTTTTTTTTTTTTCATACCGTCTCTTAATTATTTCTTTGAAGCTAGTCGGTCTTTAATAATTCCCACAAACTTCAAATTTTTAGAGCCAGCTATAGAATTAAAGCTCATCGTCTTTTTAGAAAATGTATTTGGTGAAAATCGAATCTAGATTTTTTTTCACCTAATGAGCTACACCATTGGCTAGAGACAAAAAGTCTAAACCCATTTGATTGCATCCACTTGATCATAATGAATCCCAAGAAAAGAGTGGACCCTGAACAGTGATAAGAAATGTGTTTTTGATTTCCTTTGTATCTGTGTACTGAATGTCACACTATATCTTTTCCTTGCTCAAAGGGTATTACTATCTATCTGACCATAATTTTGCTTAGAAAATCGTCTCCTAAACAGAATATAAAACAATTCTCCTCCTCTACTTAACCAGAAGGAAATAGTGTTGTTTAATCTCTCATCTCCTCCCATTTGAGACTCCTATGGAGTATGAACAGATAACATGTGAGTGAAGTGATCATAAAAAGGATAAAAGTATTATTTACATTCATAACCCGAATAGATTTTCTCATGTTTTATTTTAATATGACCATATAAGACAGTTATGCATAGAATAACAGTCACTAAAATATTGACCGGGAATTAATCTATGAATGACTATGATTTTTCACATAACACAATAATATTAACAATAATGTTAACGCATGAGAGAATCAATTCAAAAAAAACACAAACCCATATCAAACTCTAGTTGGCAAGTCCTGTTTTCATCATGGATCGAAATTCTTCAAAATCCACAAACCCATCTCCATTCTTATCAACCCCTTTGATCATACGCTTGCATTCTCTGAGACTACAATTATCACATCCTAGATTGAGAAGAACTCTCCTTAGTTCCTTAGCAGAGATTAGGCCATTCTTGTCAGTGTCAAAAACAAGAAAAGCATCCATGAGGTAGTCATCATCATCATCTTTCTCCTTGCCACAGACAACTTTTCCTTCTTCTTTTATGCCATTCATGACAACCATGAACTCGTCCAAGTCTACAAACCCATCTCCATTGAAGTCCAAAGCTCTTACCATGCCTTCAGCTTCTTTAGCAGCTGTGCACTTATTGTATCCTAGGCATGAAAGTACTTCACTGAGCTCATTTGTTGATATCTTTCCATCCCCATTAGTGTCAATAAGCTTGAAAACTTGTTGAAACTGGCTAGCCACCTCCATGTGAACGAAAGAAGAGATTGACAAGTCAGAACTTGAAGAGAATCTTTTGTTGGGTCGTCTTCTCCAGCACCATACATTCATTATGTGCATGCTTCTTTGCTGGTTGAGGAGGAAATTGATCTCCCTATGAAGAAAGGTGAAGCAAGAAGTGAAAGGTTGCAACATAATTGAGTGAGACTTAAGAACAGTGGTGGTAGAGTTTGACTATACAAATGATATAGGATCAGAGAATATAAAAGGAAATTGGTTGCGTATGGAGTTGATATTTGTATGAGGATATGAGCTGTGTGTGTAGCTTTATGAGAAGCCCTTTTTGTCACCTAGTAATAATTCTCCAAGCTTTACGAGGTCTCAACTTTCAAGACTCTGCACAAGGGTGAACCTTTTTGTCATTTTCAGTCTTCCTTATAGCAAGATCTTGAAGTTCTGTCCATTAAATCACATACACAAGCAGATAAGGATGAGTTTAGAGTGACCGAATCCTTTGGAAGATTGAACAAAGTGCCACTCTTTGATAAATTTTTTACCAAATGTCACACGAACAGAATTTTTTATAAGACCGTCATGCGTCGAAATTCGCTATCACTGATAGCAAACTTCATCACTAATAATTTTGTGACATGTAACACACTTTTTGCAGGAAAAGTTGACTAGATCAAATTTGGTAACAAATTTAGTCCGCTACGTGACACACGAATAATGTCACGTGTCACGAAATTATTAGCGACAAAGTTTGCTACCAATGGTAGCAAATTTTAACCGTGCTGTTCCTGTGACATTTGTATAAAAAAATTTAACACTTTAATTACTGTTTCGAATCCTTTTAAGTTTGATTAAAGTCTTGATTGGTGGGTGGTGGAAAAGTCATAAAAATCACCCATACAATGTGCTGGCATATTTCACTTTCACAGGCCTGCAATTATTTTCGTTCTCTACCTGTTGTGGTCTCCGCAGGACTGCAACTGGATCAACGACAAAGCAATTTATCTTGGTGGCTGTATTTGGATTTTTTTTTATTTTTTTTTTGTCCCTAACTATTTCAACGAGACTAATTCTTTGTGGCATAGAGGTTTTTGTCACTAACCTTAAATTGTTTTGCTCAGAAACCTCTTGCTTCGCCCAAAATTCCACCCATAAACCTTTGGGTCCCATCAGTTTGCTCTTATTTCTCTTGGTGGCTGTATTTGGATTTTGTGAACAAGAGCCATCTTAATGGGGAACTCGTGTTCCATTATTAATCAACGTAAAGGTCAATTTATACAATAGAGTTGGATACCAAAGGTGTTTTAACAGTGGATCTATCTAACTGCATTAGTCTCCTATTTTCTGACTTATAACTTCTTTGTTGGATTATATAGCTCTACAATCAATTTATAGCCACCAACGAAGCAGACAATAACATAATCGAACCCTGGTAATGCTACTTTTACATACAATGAAAGCAAACTATAAAGACTGCAGTCAAAATACCAAGCCAAATTAACGATTAACCATTTTAAACAGGTAAACATCAGCCAAAACTCAATTGAACTTACCAGTTTAACTCGTTAAATCAACCGATTATAAAATTATTACTCAGTATTTTTCATGTGTTATAAAAGTTTTTACATATTTTATAGTATATCATGTAACCAACCAGTTGAAGTTGAACCATAAATATCCCCAATCTGGTTTTAACAACATTGCAAACGAGGTATAGTGATCACTCCATAAAATTAAAAGTAACCGTTTTGGGTTGGAATCAAGCATCTTTCCACACGAAAGCTTAAAAGTACAAAATAAGCCATTTAATTGCAGAAACTAATGTATAATAATTTAGAAAAACCACATCTCTTGGTAAAATGAGTAAAATATAAAAAATACAACATTAAGCCTCTTGGTAATTCATATCAATTCTGACTGGAAAAGCTAGGCTTCTAAAATACAGACTTAGGACGGTGTAGCTAACACAAATCACTACTAACTTTTCATACACCTGTAAAGTATATTATTGACAAGTAATCCAAGGCAAAAGGCAAAGGAGAGCGGAGGAAATTATAAACAAAAAGACTTGAAACAAAAATATCCTACATCTCAAAATGCAGGGTTAGTCTTTACCTAAATGATCAACATGATTGTAGCAAAACAGGACCAACTGATAAACTAAGCATATCACTGAGAGCAACCTGGACTTCGCTTGACCCATGTTCACAACTTACCAAGCTTGAGAGAAGAGGGAAAAAATGAGACAGGTTCTTCTCAAAAGATATATCTCCCAAACTACAAATAGCCTGAAGAGTAGCCACAACAAGAGGTGAACGTGCAGCCAATTCTCTCCGCTTCCCGGAGCCTAAAGGAATTAACCAATGCGGCTTTCTACCATGAGAAGATTCAGATTTTTGTCCAGAACCTGCAACTTCAATATAAAGCTCCAAAACCTCCTGACAAAGCCGAACAAGATGAGATTCAACCTCAGCCTCATCATAACTAGGAGGCCTGTCGACAATAAGGTTCTGTAAAAATGTAAGGCATATTTGGTACGACTCATTCTCAAGGCGTAACAGCGGAGGGTCTTGCATTTGGGTCATTGAACCAAACTCTTGAAGCTTTGAACGTAATATAGTATTGCTGTTAATCGTGTGAGCATGTAATGCTATATCATGCAAAGCATCAAACAGGACTAGCATGGTTTTTGGTGAAAGATGAGAACGATACATGTTATAGATCTCCATCACCGCCTGCCAATTTCAGTAAGAGAGTTGACGTCATTTATCAAAAACCATGTGCATCTATTTTGGCTGGGACATGCATAATAATTCACATAGCTATTGAAAGGAAAATATATATTTCCTTCCATCTGGTGCACAATGCCAAGACTATCCACAATTTTAGTAGCGCTAAAATATTAAGAATCTAACGGTAACATCAATAATAAAAGATCGTGATCAAGCAGTCTCTGACTCCCTGAATAGACTAAATGCCACTTAAGCGACAACTCTTGGGCTCCTTTAAATTTTCTTCCTACGAGGCATTTTAACAAATTTTGGAGGGAAAGAATAAGAATTTACCTGAATCAATAAAAGCTGAACAGCAGCTCGGCATTTTGCATCAGTTAAATAAGCATGAAGACGACGAATCATCAGGCTTTCCAAACTATCCCGTGAGCCAGACTCAGTAAGATCTCTGTCATCTTCAGCTGTTGAAGCATATTCAGGATTTCTAGTCACACTGTCTTCACTTTCGAGGAATGAAAAGTTAGGGAGTGTTGCAGTTGCTGCTTCTTTTAGTGATGAAACCACTTCTAACCACTTTTCATCAGAAAATAGCTCTCCAGCATTACTCATCAAACGAACAAATGCAGCAATACCAATGCCCGCAAGGCTTTGATGAGGGCGCTTTATAAAGCTTACCAGGAGCATCAGGACTTTTCTTAAAAGTGGATTGACAGTGTTGTAAAAGTTCACAAAAAGATCTACAACCAATTGGAGGGCCAATGTGCATGTCTCATAAAGCCAAGCATCTTGATCAAGCTCACCATCAATCTCAACTTCATTGACCGGTGAACTACTCCCTGAAGGATCAATAGCATGTCGAACATAATCAAATATTGGAAATAGGACAGACTCAAATATTCTTTCCCATAAAGGCAGTGAAAAGAGATGGCCATGGTTGCGTAAGGTTTCAAACAGAACTTCCAAGGCACTCTTCCTAATCTCAGGCCTTGGGTCAAAGCTAAGCTCAGATAGACCTGCAGAAAACAGATAACAAATAAGTACATCTGCAACATGCTAACCAATTACAAATCATTCGACAAAGTTAAGAAACATAAATTCATTACTTTTAGCCTAATTCACGTGTATAGTTAAACTTAATATAATGTCCTCACCTGCCAATAAAGGAAACCAGAAATAGAGATGATCATCCTTGTCGGTCACCTCTCCATTATCTTGTTTCCCCTCTTTTCCTGTTCGAGGTGAAGGTGAGGAAATCTTTCCAGAAACTTCCTTATCCTTATTCCTTGATGATGAGCCAAGGTCTCCTTCTGCTAGTTTTGTTGCACAGAACCGAAGAAAAGCAATGGCATTTAGGCTAATCTCTTTGTTAAATCTACTATTGGTGAATGCAATTAGACAATTCACACAGTCTGTGAAGGTGGTGGTTTCAGTCTCAGTTATGTATGGAAAGTAATCTCGAATAATCTTCTCAGTAATTTCGAAAGCCAAGAGTACAATGTTTTTGTGGTCATCGTACGCTGCTGTTGTGAATACCTGAAATCAAAGTCTATGAGCAATAAGTGGAAGTGGGGGACCCAAAAAAATAAACCTCAACAGACAAAATCAAAACTGAATGTGTTAATTGGAGCTCTCTACAGACAACAAGAGTCAATCAGATTTACCATGAACATGCTCTTCCATCCCGATTTGACATTGTTGACACGAGATAGAACCATTTGGGAGACACATCTGATAATTAGTTCTCTAATTTCAACAGCATTACTCTTCCGCATAACAATGACAAAGGGCTTCATAAATTCATTTTGAAAATTATAATTAGCCAACTCTTCCCGCTCCAGAAATTTCATTGACAACTGACGCAAGGAATCCATAGCAAAAATTGCAATTGAAAGGTTTGCAGAACAGCCAATGGTTACAAAGAAATCAGAGAGAACATGCCAGATGCTTGACCACACAAGCCTTATACGGTTCATATTATAGTGCCTGTTACACAATAAACATTTCAAATAATATAATTTAGACAGCAGCGTATGAACATCAATCAATCATGAAACATAAATAATATGCTTGATGCTCAGCCCCAACTTCTGTCTTTCCAATCAATTACACTTACACCTTCCCACCTTGATCTTTGGGTGCACTTGTAATGTTTCCCTCATCAATAAAATAAAAGTAAGCACTTTTGTCCATTGTTTTAGCATCAGAAATGGGGAGTTAAAGTAACAAGCGGCCTCTTCACATTCAACCCCGTATAATATTTACCATAATTGGACAGGAAAAATAGTTCCATCAACCAATTTGCCCAAACTAAAAGAATTGGGCATGAGATTTGGGGATTTAGAAAGGGCAATCAACAAAACAAGGGAAAACCAGGGTGGCAAAGTGCTAATTTTATAAACAAGAAAGCATATATTGTAATGGCCTGAAAGATCAGGGCGCCAAGTGCCATTAACTTTGCTGCTTTTGTAATAACCCACGAACCCCAAGAGCCATGAGA